GGAAATACTTATTGACAATACGACAATACGTTTGTGCTAATGGGTAGTAACGTGTGGACAATAAAATTAGTGCGTATTCGGGTATATTAATGGTGCTGGGAGGATTGAAAAAATTCATGTGGCAGTTGGCCTCGAGCTTGTGGCACCGGCATTGTTGCAATTTTGAAAATAATAGTGGCGTGAACCGAGAACAAAGTCGTTAAAAAATTTTGGCTGAGCATTGAAAAAACATAATTCTGAGTAATTTTCGTCGGGAATTTTGAGGTGACATCCCTGAAGTCGTTTTCAGAATATTTTATCGATCGATGTATTGATAAACACCCGGGCTGCGCTCGATGAGTCGATATCGGGGGGTCTCAAAATCGTGGTAGGGGATCGTGACGACAAGACGCGTGCGCACAGCCTGTACGCACATCAAATGGCGGCTGATTGTTGCATTGGATGAGAAGCCCGGTTTTGTTTTCAAGTATTTTCGCCAATAAAAGGGGTAAAATCGTGAAAATAATTATTGACAATGAGACAATAAATTTGTGCCGATGTGTAGCAACGCGTGGATGAAGGAATTAGTGTGCATTCGGGTATATTACAAGTGGTAGGGCGATCTGAAAATTTCATGTGGCGGTTGGACCGGCGTTGTTATAAATTGGAAAATCTTGGGCTTGATTCGAAATTCAAACACATACATCCATTGGTAACAAATTAATTGGCGTGAAAAAAATCTAATGCTTTTGGATTTCGTCATTAATTTAATGCCTCACGAAGTTTCAAAATGCTGCGCAAATTTTCGTATGTTTTTTCTACACTTAAAAATCATAAAAGTATAGAAAAAACGTATGAAAAATTAAATAATGACAAATTACAGAAACTGGAATATTTTTTCACGTCAATCCCCTCAAAAATTTTCCAGAAAAAAAAATCGAGAATTTTCACTAATAGGATCGCGAACAAAATCGTTAGAAAATTTTCGGTAATTACTGCTTTATTAATTCAATAACAATTTATTGGAGACGCGAGTGAGTGAGTGGGGAGTGAAAAGTGAAAAGTGAAAAGTGAAAAGTGAAAAGTGAACTGTGAACTGTGAAAACAATGACTCTGGAGGGTTTTCGATGGAGATTTTGAGGAGACACCGATGAGGTCATCTGGAGAATATTCTTGTGACCGATGTGTTGATAAACACGGGAGTTTCGCTCGGTGTGCCGATCTCAGTGGTTCTCAAAATCATAGTGAAGTGATGGACGATGAAGTGGTTCCTGAAACGAGTGGCTGTCTTCGGAGGAATTCGAGGATTCGAGAGGATCTGCCCCAGGGACGCAGCCGTAGACGGTACGCGAGGTGAAAACACAGATGTTCGGAGAACCGCTGTGTGTTTTCATCCAACACGGTGAGTCAATCGAAGTCTCCTATTTATTTATCCGGTATCGGTATCGCGGTCGGGGGCAAGATGAAAGGGAAAGTGCGACTTTCCTCGTGCGTTTAATTTTAACACGAAAATTACGGTTCACGCGAACTTCTGAACCCTCGCGATGACATTGACGCGAAAAAGTTCTATATTTACCACAAAAGAAAAAATAGCTGGAGCTTTGAATATTAATACAGATTGAGGACGTTTGAAAATGAAATAATACCCAAAGATTTAATGAAATTCTGGAGGGCTATTTCCGATTGCTCAAGAATACCAAATTGGTTGAGGCAATTTATCGGTGTCCAAATCGGATTCCTTGTTCCACAAAATGATGAAAAAAATTCTCCTCGAAACAAACTGAATATACCGTTTAATGAGTTGCCTGAGGTCATTCCACTTCTGTTCCATCTGGGTATTGGATGGGGTGGATTGCTCGGTTTGTACATATTGGAGAGGCGGGAATGAAATCGCACGACGGCTCGGTGCCCATCGATTCCCACTGGCGAAAACCGCTGATCCCACCCCCTCATATTGCCCCCTCATATCACCCCCTTGTCATCTCACCTCCTGAGATAATTGAATCGTCAATATTCAGATTGAAATCAAATATTATGAAAACGCTGAGTCGACACTTTGACGTGGCCGATGGGATAATGTCATTTCCAGTCCTGGAATATTGTGGGAATACATGGGGAAAAATATGGATGTGACTATTTATTCATAAAATTGAATAGAATTCCGGTGAGAGAAATCGGCTTATTCGAAGACCACGGGCTAATACAGAATTGCGGGGTATGATGGGAGAAAAAAAAAAGGCAAGGGGGTGGTGAAAAAGAGGGGGTAAAAATGAAACATGAGCCATATTTTGCATGAATTTTTACGAGATTAGCGGACATAAAACACCGGGGGAGAATGGTGCCGCAGGCACGTACGTACCGTTGCCTCCTGGCCTGCCTCGTTGCCTGGATATAAATCGTTCTGCACGGTTGGTTGTACGTTAGAAATTAAAATAGATTAAAAATCCAATGGTTTCGTCCTTTTTTCGCTTCTACCGGTCTCAGTCGACTCTAATACTGCAATATTCGATGTAAACTCGCCTCATACCTTCTCGCAATTTCATCCAATCTTTCTTCATGTCCCGAAGAAATTATGTTAGAGGATTTTTCATGCCATAGAGGGAATACTTCAGTGATGGTTAATGAAAATGGATCATGTTTATGCTGTTCTCTTATTTGGATTTTTTTTTTCTTCACCCTCGCTCAAAAGCTCGTGCACTTTTTTTTACAAGACCACTTGCTCTGCATTCGGGCTTTTTTCTTCGTAAACTGGGATATTTATGCATTTTTCTATCATAGTTTATCCCCTCTTTAGTCGATTATTTATTAATCATTCTTTATTGAGTTTAGTAGTGAAGAGGTAATTCCGCTCGTTTTCTGGTAAAATTTTTAGGGAATTTTTCGGGACCCAAGGGAGGTACTGGAATTTTTAACAGGAGCTTTTTTGTGGAGATGAATAAGAGCTATGAAAAGGCTCTTAAAAAAATTTCACTCCTCTTGGACTCTGGTATATTTTTGGAGGCCAATAAATTTGGATGAAAACTTCACAAGATGTTGGAAATATTTATATTGTGGGAGGTTCGCAAAATCGGTTCATCTGGTGATATTTCAATTGTGACAGCCATTCGTTGAGCCGTCAATGCTCAATACTTGAATAAAAAATATGTTGTGGAGGTGGGGAATAAAGTCAGTGTCGGAACAGGAAATGGTTCCATCCATTTCACGAATCTCTTCAGGGAAATCTTTCCGTGGGGGTGATCCGTGGTTTAGTCCCTCGGTTTTCTGGTCTCACCGCAAGCCGACCACTGGACATTCCATCTACGTACCGTTTTCCACGGGAATACATGAGGTACAACGTGAGAAAATACACAGGCCAATGGTGTATTGTATTCGGCCTGTTTGTTTTTACTTGTCCTATTATTTTGTTTCCAACTACAAAAAAAGCTTTAGAATAAAAACTTTTTTTTTAGCTTTAGAGCAAACACTTTTTTTTTCTGCATCTACCCCGTCACGGGTTATTAAATCCATTTAATTGTGAGGACAGTGTCAACACTTTTTATCAAAGTCATTGTTATTCAGAATAAATGCCGGACGTTTCGACAGTTTGATTAAATTGAAATCAAGTTGATGGTGGCTTTGTGGGTGGGAGCCAAAAAAATCGTCAAAAGCTCGAGCGTTTAAAAAATTCCAGGAATTTCATTTGGTTTCGGAGTAGGGGGCATTCAAGGGGGATAAAACATTGCCAAAATTGGGGGTGTTGAGTAGTGGTGAAAAAAAAAAAATCCACAATAAAGGGGAAAAAGGCCGAGTGTCAGTTATGTGGAGTCAAGTGAGTGTCACCACTTTTATTTTTTATTCTTTTCATGGAGATGGAAAGTGTTTCGATGCCATTTGCAATGGGTGGGAAATCGATGGATGATTATCGCGAGAACGAGGCGACAACTCTCAATTGATATTGACGAGTCCAATTGGCTGTTTTGGTTTTTTTTTTTTTCGTCTCTCTCTTTTTAAATAAATTCCCGTGAGTGGAAAAAATGGCGGGTTCAACGATTTTATCCGAACGGTTGGGGATCATGACTTGTGTCAAGTGGATGAAATGTGGTCGGGTAATACAAGTGAAGTGTAATACCAGGTTTGGGGGTGGGATGGGAGGGGGATGATCCAGAGAACAAACATGTACCAGGGAATGTTGAGACAGAGTTGACCCCGGGGTTGCAACCGAGGTCCGGTGCATTTCACCGTCACTCGTCAGTGAAGAATGGCTCCCCAGAAATGGAGTAACAAAGCTAGGGTAGGAGTTGGTCCTTCATTCAAAGTGTCAGGAGTGGAATTACCTGACTCTGTGAATCGCAATACGACTCTTGTAATTGTTTGATACTCACTCGTTTTGGTTATCAAGGGTTGATTGATGTTTCGTTTCAAATCTCGTTCTATATTTGTAAGAATCCGAGGATTTATTTTACACCGGCGAGAAATCGTCTGGAGTTCATTTTTGGGTTCAATTGATGAATTATTAATTGATGTGAAAAAGTGTAACGTTTTTGCATTCAGTCGTTAATTTAATGCCTCACAAAGCTTCAAAATGTCGCGCAAATTTTTTCAGGTTTTTTCTGGACTTTGAAAGAAAATCTTAAAATTGTAGAAAAAACACATGAAAAATTAGATAGTGATGAAACGAAAAAATGTTATGCTTTTTCACGACAATCTCCTAAATAATTCATCAGGATAGCCTCAACTTAGATTAATTTTTCCAATATTTCATCGTTTTATAAGTATTTCAATAACTCTAACTAGGTTGAATTCAGGTTGAGATGAGGTTGAATTGACGATTTGAAATAGATTGAAAAGTGAAGTACTGATATCCACGAATACTCCCGTGTATCTGGATTTGTGCATTGAAACAATATTTTCTCACCTCTCGTCTTCGTTATCGTGTGATATCTTGTACGCGGGGCTGCATATTGTCTTGAGGGGTTTGTCATTCCCCTGGGTCATGCCAGGCTGTAGAACTCCATCCCAAATTTCAATCGTTGACTTGCAGCCTGATGTACTGCCAGAGAGAACAGAGAAAAAAAAATATCAGTATTTACTCGTGTATCCGTAAATTTCATTATTTAAAAAATCGAGGAGACATCGAGCTGGGGGATATCCAGGGGAATGGGAGTGAGTGAAAAAAAATTATAGAGAATACTAGGCGCATGGGAAATTTCCCAGTGAAATGTCCTAAGCCGGGTAATATCACCTCGCTCTGCATATCTCCGGAGATTCGGGCGGGGAAAAAAAGTCGAGATAAAAAAATAGAAGAAGTTCATATCTCTGGGGACGTGAGGTGGTCCTTGGGTGAGAGAGAGGAGGTACAAAGGAAAAGAGAATACAACATCCCAAGTCTATAGGGTATTCTCTCTGCTTCGAACTACTTTCCCGGTTCACCGAAGCTCGGATTTACAATATTCCATTCAGAATTTATGCTGGCCACGATAAAGTTCATTTTTTCCCATCCCATCCGTCGCACCAATACAATTTTTCATTGTCATCAATTTTTATGTTTTTTCCTTTGTTAATGACAATGTGGAATGGGTTTTGTTTGTGGATCTAATAGGGAGGTTTAAATTTTTTAATGAATTGCCAAATTAATTCCTTTATTGGCGAGAATCGAATTTCAGAAAATTTGGGTTTGAATATTTCATTGAAATTCTTGGTTTACATCCTCTGAATTCCCGGATAATTGATGGTTTATTAATTAATTGAAAATTGATTTAGGAGAGTTGGAAAATATGAAGGAATTTTTTTCAACGGTTTATAGTTCTTTCAGTGTTTCGTGTCTTCACGCGAAAAAAGAACCGACGGTTCAACTGCTGTCCATTATTTTATGAAGGTGTACTTTGAAGGCACGTACACCAAAGAATTCTCCCCCATTCTTCAAATTTATCTGGACCAAGAAAAATTGTACATAAGGAAATCCATGTTTTTCCACAATTCCGTGCACGAGATTGAGTCACTCTTCTACGTGACTGTTGTGCGTGGCCTATATACTCATTTTGGCGCTATGTAACACACTTCCGCGATTTGCATTTGTGTACACCTCGAGAGAATAGGGCAAAAGGGGTTGATAGTAACGAAAACGTGTCACGTATAAGTCGAGATAAGGGGGACGAGTGTAGTTACTCGGGGGGTAACTGTGGATACCTCTTCATAGGTACGTGATCGGTAGGAATGACTTGCGAAAATTTTTATCCACCCTCATCCTCCTCGTCATCCACCCCTTGATTTTTATATCCAACGGACGAAGGGGATTTATTGTATTTTTTCCTCTTTACATACGAAATCGTTCGCGCATTCGTTTGAAATGAAAATAATTTATCAGAAAGATTAAAAAATTTGGCATATGAAGTGCACCTCGTGCATCTCGTAACGAACAAGCAGTCGGCGGTAATTTTGCCCCTTTTTTTTAATGCGCAAATTTTCCACGGTAATTTATCATCACACGTGAAACACGTTTTGACACATACCTGAGATTGTAACTTGACAGGAGTACGTGAACGGTGTCCGAGAGTCGGCCACGTAGAATCAAATGACAGTTTGTTGTTTTAATTTTTTTACGTGTATCGTAGTGACCCGTTCTGTACTTGTCACCGTATACGTCGGTGTCGCAGGACATGCTGTCCTGGTCCTTTCGTAAATCATTGGAATCACGATCAGACGAGCGGATGCTATTGCTCATCGGATTGTTGGCCGATCTGATAATCTCGACTGCCGAAAAACGGCACTTACGTTAAAATTCTCTTATAAAATATTCATCGGTAATACGGGAATTATTTTTACTCACTGGAATTTTCAGTTGTTGTTGATGTGGTGGTGGGTGGGAGCGTTGTCAATTCTGTGACTATTACTTGAGCCTTGAACCCGTTGTAATTGAATGGTGGAACTTCCGGTCCTGATCTGTAAATTCAATTATCCAGAGTAGACGATAAAATGAAAAACAATCATAGGTTCTCGGTAATTTTTTGGGGTTTATTGATTTTTTTTTTACTTGAACTCGACGAGTAACTCTGGTCCTGTATGGACAACTGTAGTTTTTTCATTGCTGCATAGAGTTTTAAGAAGTGTACTTGATGTAGTTGGTCCTGCGTAAACAGCGATGAAATCTTTCGTGCAGTGGCTGTAAAGTGAAAAATTTCCAATTAATTAAATCGTTAATATTTAGTTTTCTCATTAATGGTCAATCTCATTAACGGTGTTCATTCGGTCGAAGAAATTAAAAAGAAAAACGAGAGGAGTGGGTGAAAATTACGAATTGATGATGTGAAACAGACTGATAAAATACGGGATAATTAGCTGGAACGCAGTGTGTGGAATGGGGCCAAGTTGAAATTTTTGTTGGCACTGCAAATTGGCATACGTACACTCACACATTCGGATTATTAAATACATTTGGTACGTTCATTTCGCCAGCAGCGATGCTGCGGGAACTTTTTTTTTTCATTCGGATTTATTTTCCCCGGTTTTATATCAAATTTTTCGCTCCCGTTACAAAGCGCAGGAAAACAATTAACAATTGGCGGGAGAGGATGTTCTCAATAACATCAATTAAAATTACATCAATCATATCAATATTTACAAATCATTGGCTGATTTCAATAATGTTCAATTGACAGTTCCGATAATTAAAGATAAATAAAACAACGAGCGCATTTCGTAAAAATTGTATTTTTATGGGATTCTTTAAAAAAGTGATTTTTCCAAAAATGAATCAATTTTTTCAAATAAATCTCTGGGGGGGAAAAATATTGACCAATTCGCGGTTGGATGTAGAAAAAATTTTTCGCAAACATTTAAATTGTGTGAAGTGTCGGGTAGACTGGAGAAATCCCATAGATTGACCGTGGTAAAACTCACTCCCCCATTTTCCAGGTGAATGCTTGAAAATAGTGAAGTGGTGAATCGAATTTCTGTTACTTTTGTGGATAAAACGTTGGAAATTAAAAGCACAGGGGCATAAAGGCTAAGGAAAATCCATCTGAATCTGGAATTGACACGTTGAATGGTCAATGGTAACTGCAACAATAGTTAGTGGGAGGGGAGGTCAATGGGAGGCATTAATTGCATCATTAGTATCCCACGTATCGGAGATAATGTGGGCCCATTTATCTCCACAGTTTCAGCAATGATTAACCACTCTGTCAACCCTTATCCTCGGTATTCTGGGATAGTTCGATCCATCAGGATCAGCCAAGAAGTTGGTTGTTTAGTTTCCAATTGGCTTTTATATTTATTTTATTTGTTTTATTCCATTGACGTTTGCTGATGATTTGGTAGATATCGTCGGTCGTGTCCTCATTAAATATCTGGCAACTCGCCAATATCCACATGGACAGATGGACAGATCGTATTGTTATCAATGTCATGGGAAAAGGGGAAATAATTGACGTTCTCACGTGCCTTATGACCGGTGTGTTCGTCGTTTTCCGTTATTTTACACGATCCCTCAGTATTATGAATATATCTATGGCATGATGTGATTATTTAATCGATTAGTTACCGATCCAATCGGCTTATCCATTGTTTCTGGCTTGCTGGTTCTGACTATCCTGTGCATGGGTTGAAAATTAAATTGTCGGAGTCATTCAGTAATGAGAAACGCACCAGTCGCAGAATTTATGGCACAGTCGATTCATCTCCGGTATTTTTCATCGATAGCTCGAAATCTAGGGATGATATCGTAATTTTTGTAATGATATTTTTTGCAGGGTACACTGAGTGCCGCAAAAAAGGTGGTTAGCAAAAATTCGATATATCGAGGAGGTTCGGAGATTTTTCTCGATTAATAGAACATAAGGGATTCGTCGATTTGGTGGTACGATTTATTGATTCGTTTGGCGGAAATGGAAGAGCGAGCGGGAGGAAAATTAAATAAAAAATTAAACATGTTTGGAGTAGGATAGATTTATTTTCGCTTTGGAATGATATCAGACAATGGGATATTGAATTTGTGAGAATGGTGAAACGTACAATCCTCAGTCAAATGTCATGTTATTAAGGTTGAAAATTCAGAGATGCACTATCTCAACATCTAGCTCTCGTACTCTCGAATTCTCACACTCCATTGTTATTCGAAACCGCTTCGCACGTAATGAGGTACTATTTCGTGGCAGTCCATTCTCATTTTGCGTTCACTCGGGTTGTACCAACCAGAAGTCGGTGTCGGCCTCTCCTACACAGAACCACTCACAAGGTTTCAGGGGAAGAGAGAGTAAAATAGGTTGGTAGATATATACCCAGGCATATCGGTACATATATATCTGCGTTTCCATTAACGACTAAAACTACCCTTGCACAGAGCTATTGCGGTTTTCCTATTTTGTTGTTTCGCATTTTAGGTCATGGTGAAATTGTAACTAATTAATTTAAAATACATCGTACACGTGTGGGATTGTATTTGACATTTCTTTGTGGTTTTGGATTTTCTCTCGTTAGTAGAAATTGTATTTATCATTGGGAAGAGAATTCAATTTTTACAATAAAAAAATTCGCACATCGGGAATTAAAATGAAAAATAAGCACTTGACCGAGTCGTTTTGGCGGGAAAAAAATCGTGAGCATTCAGAAAATATTTTTTAGGTGTAATAGGTCGAGGACACTCCGTGGCATTTCTCTGGAAAATAAATGACGGGTAATTTTCTTTTCTCGATTAATTTGTAATTGCGCGAATTATTATTTTATTGAATATTTAGTTCTGTGCGGGTGGTGAAGGAATGGCAGTATCAGATATTTTTTTAGGGCTTGCTCCTTTTTTTTTTTTTTTTCTTTTGACAAATTTCATTAGGTGTCCTGTGGGAGGAAAAAACTCAGGTTCTTCTCTCAGCACAGCTGTACTCAACGAATCCCCAGGGCGGTCTCGATGTTTACACGCTTGATTTTACCTTACCTTGTCGCCATTGTTTTTCGTCTGATTACCTGCAACGACAGGAGCGTTAACAAGCTAGCCCCTTGCCTCATCGGACAATCTCAACTGTCGTCTTACCCCTCATTTTACCCCGGGGCTGGGAATAATTCTCTTCCGAGCAATTCAATTACCCATCAGCAAAAAAAAAATTCAACTGTATATACTTTTTAACTAGGTGACCAAATAATCGGTGATTTACTTCAAAAATTGAAAAGAATTATTTCATAAAAAATAAACCAACGGAAAAATAGGCTTTCCCACGTAACCAGCTCGGTACCTAATTACAAATAAATCAAGAATAAATAATTATTCTGCGGGTGGTAATGAGAAAATCGATGGAGATCGCGTGTCTCATTATTTGTCATTACAAAAAGGGTTAATCACCAGAATAAATTATGAAGCTCGAGAATTTTTTTTTTTTTTCAAATGAAATACAACTTTAGTGAACGAAAAATTTTGAATTTCTCGGGGGATTATCCATTAAAAAAAAAAGCACAGTGAGCGTCAGACTTCTGATAATTAAATTCAATGGTTGGCCCGCGCAAAAGTTTTCGGTGTGTTAAAGGCCTTTGGTTGGTGGTGGAGCTTTTCTTATGACCTGTCGCGGTAACTTTCAACCCTGTCCTCTCTTTTGCCCGTATAACTATGCCGAGTTTCAGGACCCATTATGCGCTTGTCACAACATTTCATTAGAAACTTAGCGGTTGGCGGTGGGGTAAGAGGGGATCTTCAACTTGGAATAACCTTTTTTTTTTGACTTTTTGGTATACAGACAATTGTACACACTCGTGTGTACACCAGTGGCTCGTTTACTTCCTTATATACTTTACCCTCTACTCCCAGATTTTTCCTTGTACTTGAGTGGGAATTGGAGGCAAGGGTCAAAGTAAGAAGCCATCAAGTTACCCAGAACCGTGAAGTCTCATCTAGATTCGCGACGAGATTTTCGTGAACTTCGGCCTCGGCTTAACTCCCCCGGTTTCTCTCTCTTTTTCCCTTTTTTTTTCCTCTTTTCATTTCTCTGGGTAAGAGCGCAGCCAAAAAAATGAGGAGTAAAATTTCCGGATAGGAAAGTTTGAGTCGAAAAGTTACGAAGCCAATCTGAATTATCCACCACTCGTCAAGACCCTGACAATTTTTTCACTCTCCTTCTTCATTTTTAATTCTCACTGATACACTCTCGGTTTATTTGACGAGAGTACGATGTTGACCCGATTTTCACTCATTTTTTTTATTTTCATTTCATCGTTGCACGTGTCCCATGAAATTTCATGAATTCGTACCGTCCACGTACAAAGCGAGGAAAAGAGAATGGGGATGAGTGGAGAGGCCACTTCTGCCCTGAAACTTGAGAAAAGTCGGCAAGAGTCATGGAGGTTACGTACTGTCGACCCTACCACGAGGATTCACCAATGGTGCCCTCTGTTATTTCAGACCTTTCACCCTGTAAACTATAAAAAAAAAAAAAGCTCGAATGAATTTTCCCAAAGCCATTTCAAGTAAAGGCCACTGGTCGTATTTTTTTTCTCTGCATTGGCGATAAGCCACCGTAATGGCGCCATTGGTTAAACGAAGAGGTTCGCTAAAAAATGGGGGTGAAAAGAGTAAAATACAAGGGGAAGACGTGATAACCAAATAAAATAACTAAAACAAGGAGAAGAATGAGAAGGAAAAAAATGGGAGATAGCCGCGGGGGGGCAGTTCGATATTTTGGAATATCGAGTGGTCGCACGAGCTGAAACTGACTAGAGGAATACCTTTCGCACTGCAGGGGGGGCGGGGGTGACAGGGGGATAAACGAAATTACAAATTTTTTTTTTTCGGAGCGAAACGAGCAACGTAATCCACTTTCGGTTATTACGTAAAGCCCGTGGGCCTTCGCGTTTTCTCTTTTTCCCCTTCTCGCTATTTTTATTTTTTTTAAATTTTTTTCATTTCGCTCTATTCTATTTGTCCGGAAATCGCACCCTCCGTTCGCCCCTTGTTTGACGATCGAAACGACTAATTTCTGAATGGTTGAAGGAATGGATAAAGAAAGAATAGGGTATTTCTCCAGTAGAATTTCAGAGTGAGTTTAAATAATGATTGGAATAATTTTGCCGAGGGGAGGGGGATGGGAAAATTGAATAATCCGGCAAATGTAAATTCCATATTAGGTGGTCTTAATGTGTCTCAGAGGAAATTTCACTTTGTATGATGGCCATCCATTAATCAGAGTCAACTCAATACCGAGAACTTGGGATTTCGTTGATTCACATCTGTTCTGTTGGAATATGCAATTTATCCTGGAGTTTCTCTTCATTCTCGGTGCATAATGCCGTAGTGTTATTAGTTAATTACACTGGTGGTATGTCAAAGACGTAAGCCATCGTGTCTTTGTCGTTGTGTCGGGAATAAACTGGCATTCAGGGGTTTGAAGAATAAACGTACGTAATTCTATATTGTTGATCTTTCAAATTCTCGTGGATCGAGAGGAATTTTCGGTGTTATTTACACAGAGAGAAATATTCAATGAAAATTACGTATATTTTCCGTCATTCCGGAACATTCCATCAATTTTTTAAATTCTCCGGGATTTCTTTGAAAATACCAATAATTTTGAAAATTTTCAATAGGTTTTTTTCGATTTTATTCATTTCCAGAGAACACTCAATAAAAAATGTTCACGGAGTAATCTTAAAAGGTATAAAAGAAAATAGTGTCTTTCAACAATTCAATTCTCCGTTGAGCTTGAAATTTTTTCTTTTCCCTCGTGAAAATTTAACTCTCAGTCACAAGTAATTAGTTCTCCACTGATGCTTGAGATTTTCAGAATGGGAGAAGAGTTTTTACTCTCATATAATGAGGACCATTTAAATGAAACAATCCAAGGACGCTTTATATTCCCCTGGACTGGTGAATAGCACAATCATCTAATGTACCCTGGATTCTTCTTTATCTCGAGACAAATAAATTAAAGCCCTCCCTTTCCTTCCCAGCAAGACGCATTTACTCTTATCGGAAGACTTAAATCAGCCTCTACTTTTCATCGTTGAGATGGTCTTTTTCATATGCTGAATCGGTTGCTATGGGAGCGTTAATTAATTTTTACGAGTGAAAGAGGGAACAGTGAATTCGCTCGCGGAAATGGGGAGTAAAGAAAGGGATAATTAATTTGAAATAAAATATGGGATATTGGTGGGAGTAAAAAATATTTTGAGATGAAATTGTGTCATTCTGGATGGATACATTGCAGATTCAGTCAGGTGGGGTCCAACTGTAATGCCTTTTTGTACTTTGGGGAATGGTGGAAGGGGTTGAGGGGGATGAGAATGAAATAAGAACGAAATAAGAAGGAAATAAGAACGAAATAAGAACGATATCCTGATGAAATAGATAGGCGATACGTCTCGTCGGTGACTCATTCGTTTCAGATCTCTCTGCCATGTGGAAAAGCGAATCAATACTACTCTCGCGCACACACACACATCGTGTCTCATCCTTTTTCCTCCTCATCCAACCAGGATTCCGGAAAGTTGGATAGAAATAAGAGCCAGAGATGGAACCTAAAAACATCCTTCCCGAATCTTATAGGAATTGTCAAGCGTTTGGCTATTTTACCTGTGTGACATACGATTGCCATATGGGAACGTTTATGGGTTTTCATCGAGAAAAATATTTTTACTGTAATGGCGCGCGGCATTTTTCAACTTGATAATCATTCTCTGTTGGAAAATTTATAGATATCTTTTGACTAAATTGGAGTAAGGCGGTCTGTGGGGATTTTCTCGGGTCTTGTACTGTGAGCGTCCACTCGGGAATTACTTTGGATTTTTTTTTACTGCTCTCTCCTATTGCGTGAACCGTCGTTTATGTACAGTACATATACTTAAGCTCAGTACATACCTGAAATCTCTGTATGAAATCCCCAGTTAAATTGTTGGTCTAGGGCAACTTGTTTAGTGGTAATACGTAATTGGCGTGATTGTCGGTTATTTGTTGGTATTATTTTTATTTTTCTTTTTATGAGTTCGCTTTACTCTGCTGAACGCATGCGCTTTGAGGCAATTGAACAACCCATATCTCTTCATAAAGTTATCAATTGAATTGTTTGCATAAATCAAATTCGATTAATCGATTTCATAATGAGGGATATAATTATTTTTCTCAGTGTAAAAACTCAATTCAGCATGAATCAGAAATAATGGGCGTTGAAAATCCATTTCCCAATGAAATAAAGAGTTTCGAAAAAATAGAAATTTATCCCATTTGAAAACGCGAAATCGCGCCATAAAACCGTGTGAATTCCGGAAATTAAAGCCCGAATCATCCCCCCTGCACTTGGAGAGAATATCAACATCGAATTCTCAGTTTACACCGTGTCGTGACGGCTTGAAATTTTACCGTCCAATTTTTCCTGGATTTATTCGAAAAATAAACAAATAAAAAAAATTCGATACGACCAGCGAAGTGCAACTTTACCTTTATTTTCACCGTGAATTAAACTCCATTTCTACGCAAAACTCAAGTCCACCTCAAACACTGAGTTTATACCAGATGCGTACAGTAAAGTGTTGTCGCAATATACAGTGATACTTCCATTTTGTAACAACCCAGTGCTTTTCACCATTATGTGTATTAAGTTTCAGTCTGCCTCTGTCGGTTGAGTTACCTTTTGAAATTAATACCACTGAGCGTAAATAAATGAGTCAGATCAAAATCCCTGGGGGTAGTTCTCCCTTAATTCTCGAGGTGAAACAGTGAATCTCCCGGACAGATTTATACCCTTGCATTTTCATGATTTGCTTCTCGGAGTAGAAAGACGAAAAAGTAAAAAGAAAAAAATGAATTGAGAAAAAAGGCATAAAATGGAGAGCAGTGGGAAAAGCACAGGCGTTGATGCTCTTCCGGCATTAAATAACGGCCACTTTGGCAGGGGTGACATGTTACGAAAATGTGGAAAGAGGGTCCATTGGGATTGCGGTCTGATTTACAGACACAATAACGAAAAGCTCTTGCAGCCAATCATCGTTACACATACACGTCGACACGCGAAAATTTGTTGAGTGCACGTTGGTGGAGGGGCTGGGTAGAAAGGGAAGTTGGAGAGGTATGAGTGAGGGAGAGGGAGGGGGGTACGTGTATCTGTCTCTGCCAAATGTGAACGAATTACCGGATTTGCTAACTTTAACGAATAGTCCACTTTTCGTTTGGATAAATTCACCACTGACTAACGGCATGACGATAATTCTCAAGCCCCTTCAATCTCCCTTTGTTTCCCATTTATACCTTGAGATCAGAGACTCATTCATTGAATTGTTTAATCTTACGTGACTTTAATGACTTTGGGTGAATTTAGAGGGATGAAGTAACGACTATTTTACTCCCACCCCCCACAAATGGCGCGGAATCGGAAATATATGGAGTTGGGTTTTTGTTGTTGGGGAGGGGAAATATAAATGAATTCCATGGGCGATGGAATAATTTTGACGTTTGCATGGATGAGGGGAAATTTCGGTCTTCGGCGAATGCTGCAGGGGAAAATCGAAGGGGATTCTTGCATTTCTCGGGATTTTTTTTTTTTTCTCTTGAGGATAACTTTTTTTCAAGGCGAATCGGGGGCATAACGAGATGCTCGAGGGGTGTAATGGGTTGGGGTTTACGCTGTGAGGGGGGTGAAGATCGATTGGGGGCTAGCCGGGGATCTCTCTGGGTTGGGTTGAGAGAGCAGGGCGTTTTGGGCTGGGATCCAAACGTTTCTACATGTATTTGCTCTCTAAGATTGGTGTTTTATTCCTGGATTTACGCCACCAGGATCAGCCTCGCTGCTGCATCGTATGTCAGAAATTTTTCTTTTTCTTGCCAATTGTGGCGAAGTGTTTTTGGGGCAGGGAACATCTTTTAAATGTATTTTCAAATTGTTTTTAACGTATCCCAAATAAACCGATAAAAAGGAATTCAAGTTGATTTTCACGGCTTGTCGATTTTCAATGGATAGCTAGGAATGTAGGGGTGATATCGATGTTTTTGTGGGGATCTTTTTTGTAGAACTCATTGAGAGCTACAAACAAGGTCTTAACAAAAAATTCGCTATTCCTTTTGTATCCAGAGATATTTCTTGAAAATCAGCTGACACCGCTAAAATTTTTTACTCCTTCGCAATACCGATATGTCATTCAATTAAATTGAACATGTACGAGATATTTTTATCTAAAATCGTTAAATCGAAACAAGAAATCAAATTTTTTATCTCTTCACGAGCATTCCCACCCACCCCTTCTTCTCCAATTTCCTCGAAACGGGGGGTGGAAAAAAAAAAACGATAAAAAGGTCTCAATTTCGCTTGAGTGCGAGTGAAGTCGACTGAAAACAGAAGGGGCTTTCCTTCATTTTCTCTTTTATTATAACCACCGAGACTCAGTAGTCGGTTATATATACAAGAGCTCGGGATTTTCGAAATACGAAGATCGCTTGAGGGGTTTTGGGTAACAGTGTAAGAGCTGCTATAGCCGCCGAAGAAAGTCGACCATATAATGGCTATCCGTGTTCTGTTCACCTAGGGTTATGGGTATAGGGTGGAAAAAAGATATGGAGACGTGCAGCGATGTGGGACGTAGGGGTAGACACTGGGTGAGTTGATGAAAAAGATGAAAAAAAAAAAAAACAAAGACCTGGGCCCTCGGCTCAGTGTGTACTCCAAGAGTATGGATTCGGCGTGATGAGCATCCACCACATGTTCTTTCCTTTTCAATTGCGATAATTCTTCAACCGTTGGAAGCTAATATTTTTATCTTCTTTCTCCAGTACTGCACTGCCTTTATGATAAAAAATTTACTACCCGGTGAAAAAGGTGGAAAAAACCCGAGAGAAACCCGATGATAAAAGAAAAATGTTGAATACAAGATAAGAGGGATAGGGGGGAGGGGCGGGGGTAGGAGGCAAATGAATTTCATCGGGTCTTTGTTTGTCCGTGATAATGATCTCTGGTATATCATAACTGTCGGCAAGATTCATTTGAATTTTTCCACGAATTCACTGTATCACGCGAAAATATCATTTTCAATTGTAACCATTGGTCTCGGTTGGTAGTGGGGGGTAATAGCCATTGTTACATCTATAACATCTTTTCACACTTAACGAGACTAACGAAATAGCGTTAATGATCTCTTTGTTGGCCGTGGGCTTTGTTAACGCAGGATGAAGAGAAAGTTTTATTCGATGGACTTACTTGAAGGATAGGAGAACAGAGCTGAACATAATTGTGATCGATACAGTGCCATTAGATTTAATGAGATAATGACATCTTGTGTCCGGGGGGTAGAGACCTGGATAAGCAGGACTTGCCAGGATACATTCTCGATTTGTGCAGTCCTCATATACCCAGTCGCATTCTGAAATTGAAAAATTCATTAATTAATTTCAATGTACAATTTAATTGGTGAGATTGAACCCTTCAGGCATTGTTGGTGTTTAAAAACCATTTTCTATCCGGGATAATGACAACCAGATAAATTCGTGAGATTTCAAAAAAATATTCTCAGTGCATTGACTGAGTACTCAAGATATCCTTTTGCCTCGAAAATGTCACTATTTCGTGGATAATGCAAGCTAGTGGTTCAGTAATGAGAATATTTCATAAATATCCCCCATTTTTTTTTTTTTGTGATCCCATGGAAGTAGGAAGTTATGAATTTCGCAGCAATTTCCGACGGCAATGGTGAATGCAGGATGAAAGGTCTTTTCCCCTTTTTTCCCCCCCTTCATATATACACCGTGGCCTTTACCCCGCAACGCCCGCCCAGATTATACCCATTTTTTTTTTCCATACACCCTGGTCATTGTCTCTGCATTCTTATTTCCGTCTTCGTTAGGTTTTATATTTTTCGCGTACAATTGTCATAATGGGTGGTGCCATTAGCGGCGACGAGTTCTCAAGTCATTCTTACTCCCCGGTTCCTGTTCTTTTATCCAAACCACCCCATCAGACCCTTCCAATTTATATAATGCTCGTCGCATTTTAAACGTACTCCCTTGACTCGTGTTTTTCCGGCATTTTCCAGCCCGACGTTTTCCATTTTTTCATCATCAGGCTTATTTATAATTACGACCGAATCAACGGGATAATTGGCATTAATTAGATTTTTCATATTCACCGTGAAAATACCGTTAAGATATCACACATCCATTTGTGAATAATTAAAATTTAAATCCAGCGAAATAGAAGGGAAGTAATTTTCTAATGAACAAATAGGATGAGTGAAAGAGCTGCGTCACGGAAAAAGCAATTTATTAACCGGATCAGCGCTAGCTTTTTCAATTAAATTCGTTAATTAACGTTAACGGGTGAATCCGGGGGGAAATTTATATTTCGCGTTCTCATGTTTTTTTTTTTCTTTCTCTTTAATATGTTTTTTTTTGTACTCAACATGCAACGTTTTACTCGGTGAATCGGCTGATTGGTACTCAGTGGAATGGCACGTACTGACCCCCATTTAACTGGGCTACATATAGAAAATTGGAAATTCCAAAGGTGTCCAATACTTGTATCGAGCAATCTCGCACCAGTCTGGAGACTCTGGTGATGGGAGAGGGAAGGGTTGATTCCCGTTTCCGATTTTCCTCGTTTCCGTTGGCACATAGGACGGTATGAGGAAAAGTTTTAGCATCACGTGTGTGGAAATTCCAACGGTGGGTCATCATAGATTCTAGAAGCGTTTGTAGGGGGCCATATACCAGGGGTCCATCTTTGATTCCATCTCACTCCGATTTTCTGGTTGTTTCGACGTGGGTGGTACAAACTTTGAGGCGATGGATTGAGGGAATTGGCGATGAGAAATCAATTGAGGTGGAGGGGAATAACTCAGGGGGTTGGATTTATTCTGGGGGATTTTATCGTTGTTTATTCAGTCTTATCGTTCGTTTATTATTTGTTTTTTCGAAGTTTAAATTAACGTTCAAGGTAATCGCGTCGATTGCATTATGCGAAATCTTTTGGTGAATGAAATTTGAAGAATCATTAAAAGCGAGATTTTTAGGAGTTAAATAGACAAAGGGAAGTGGAAGTGAGATACGGTGGTAAAATTTTCGCTAGAGAATTGTCGTTAGTGTTTACGTTGTTAGCGCTTGGTACCCAGGCATCCCTAAATGGTAGACAGGTGGAAGGGGGGGGGGGGTGGAAAGTGTGAAGGGATAGTGTCCTACGTACCCTTATTCGGTTAAGCCCAGACTGTCCCCACACTTAACCTCGCATAATTTCTCCGTTCGTAACTAGGGTCTGGGGCTTGGTGTGAGGTAAAAATATGAGAGAGGGAGATAGGCGAGGGCAAATTACGTTTCTCTGTTTGCTGGTGGAAATTTCGGACGTTGGCTCCGAGAATTAGCTTTTACTGGAGGTGAGAGGCTTGCTGGCTTTATCAAGGATCTCGGGTTGAATCAGGACGTCACGGCTTTTTTTTTTTACTCAACTTCCTTTTACGCCTCTCCACATATTCTCGAGTTTATAAAAGTGTCGTGACGGTTATGCAATTAAGGATATCTACCTGAAATTACAAATTATTTATTTTTCATGGAAAAATTAAATATTTCATTATTTCAATTATATATATCTTTGAGGTTCGTATAATTGCTTTTCTCAAAATTCTTGAAGAGTTATTAAAATCATGTAATTAAAAAAAAATAATGATAAAATTCAGGTACATATATTTTTTTTTCGTATATTTGTGAATTGAGGTAGTCCGTTGATAAAAAATTGCGCAAATTGATAAAAGAAAGTCGGGAATATTTGAATGAAGGAGATCCGTTGTAAAGTGACAAGTTGAATTGATTCAGTTAGGCAGGCATTGATGTTGGCACGGTCATCTGCATGCAGTTAATTCAGAGATGGGTTCTTGCATGATGATCCGAAGGGTCAGGCCTGCACTTGACGACCTCGATGTGCAAGCTGTTACCCCATGGAATGGAGGGGCTTGAGTTTAACATGGGCTCATGCCTTGATCGCTTATAGAACCGACGAAAGGCGAACGAGGTTGGTGGCAATGGCCAACGGGCACTTTACTCGTATCATCGTTCCTGCCTATGCTCCTGCGGTATATACACCACACATAAGCTAATCTCAAAAGCACGCCTATATCCTCTTAATTGGAAGGTGCCTTATTACTCAACGTAAATTCGGTGGGAGTACGGGTGCGTTAACTTGAATTACCATCGTCGAGAAATTGAGAATTTCAGGAATTTTGTGTGCCCAATATATGTTTACACATTGTATAGTTGGGGGGAGGGCACTTGTGCTTAAATAATATTTTCTTACATTCCCCGTTTTTTTTTTCCTTTGTGGGTTTTATGTTATGAACTGTTTAGATGTCAAGTAAAAAAGTGAGATGAGTTGAATTTAACGGTTTGGTTTTTCGATGGGTTTTCTGATGGGTTGAAGTATTGATTTTGTCGTAAAACTGGGGAGTTTAGGAGGAAATGTCTGGGGGCTTTTTTCATCGGAAATTTAATGAGCCACAAAAAACGTCTTTTGATGTTTTCTCGCTGAATCTATTGTTTCGTCGATAAATTGATAAATAGGAGTTGTGAATTCGATCTTAACTTCATTACTGGTTTAAAGGGAGTAATTAATTAATCCCACCTGTTTGGTCAACGCTTTTTCCACCCTTTGCTGGCCATCCAACCGAAGTACTGGTCTTCGATGCAAAACTGTAATACGCCAAAAATTGTGATCTCGTTGTATTTTCACTGATCCTGAAACAGAAATATAGAGAAATATTATTTCGATGGTATTTATTTAAAAGGAGAGTAAAGCAAGCACTTTATGCGAGCGATTGACGGTCTATTGACATATGATGGGAATCGGGGAGAAAAAAAAAAGTATCAGTAAAGTACATTGAAGCACTTCGTAACAGTTTTTTCCTCTTTTGCCTCATAACAGAATCGACCAATCCATCGGGGCGATTCTTCGACGATGAATATTCCTTTCATGTTTACCATTCTACTCTCGTGGAATGGAGTACGTTATGTACAGAGTTGAAAAAGCCCTCTTGCCAGTTTCCAACGGAATATATGTATGTGTCGATAAGCCGAGCTTTTCTGACTATCTGCGGTGCTTTCGGTCGACCGTTACCGGCGCCTCTTGGCATAATCAATAAGCAAGATCCTTTATTCTCTATTTTTCACCTTTTTTTTTCTCTGTGAGAAATAACAGATGATGGCGTAATTCAATTTCAGAGCAAAGTCATTTTTCGACCGGTGAAAGTTATTGATTACAGCCCTTGGCCGAGATTTTTTTTTTAAACTCATAGTCCATGCTCTGATTCTCCGGGAAAATTGTATAATCAATTGCAATACTGTTAATGGATGGAAAAAAATAAAGAACGAAATCGGGAAGGGAAATTCTTTCATCGATGAGCTCGTCAATGGGGTGAAGAGCGTTGAGGGAGACATCCACCAAAGAAATAAATATATCGGCTAGGTACTCGAGTAATTACGATGGTAGAAAGGTGCTAGTAGAAGTGGCCTCGAGGGGTCAGACATCGGTTGGAATGGCGTGAAGCACCAGGAAAAGACGATGGGCAAAAGGGTGGCGTTATCTCGAAAACACTTCAATGTCTTAATTGCGCTATTTGCATGGTACTCTCGTTTTGTGCCGATGGACTCATCCTCCATTAAGAGTATAACCCCTCCACCGTTAAACTATGTACTCGGGAATTTTATTGTCCCTTCGCTGTTCAGCTCTCGTAATTCTTCTCTCTTTCGAACCAAGAACAATCATCGCTCCGAGTGATTCACTTACAGGGATTCTTTACCAGTGAAACACCTGGACTGAGCTGAGCTCAGATGTTCTATCAATTCAATTACAGGATATCTGTCGTATGGATTTTTCCATGAACTCGGCATTGGAGTAATGGAAATAAAAATATGAACTCCCTCCGTTAGTTGTTTTCCTTCAGTTGTTTTGGGGGATGAATTTAGGACTACTCCAAGGATATTTGTCAATTCAGACAACAGCTGTCTGGTAAATTATTTTCTCTGTTATTCTGTTATTCGATCTACATCCACTGGTACTCCATGCAGATTCATGATAACGAATTTACCGTAAATTGAGTTATGGCACAACTCCGCGAGATACTCGCGTGTTATTCTACTCAATGTTTTTTTCGATCGAATTGCCGTATTTTTCTTGGAATTTCCACCGGAATTCGCGTTATTTTATTATAATGGCAGATTTAGATTCTATCTACTTTAAAATATAAAATCGTTAGAGGAATTTTCCAGGGCATTAAATTGGTTGATAAATGCCATTGAGGAAATCGATTGTGAAATAAAATCTGTCAAGTCTCTCTTTATAATTTTGGTACTGGTTTGAAATTGTTTGTCTATGACTGCCGAGCTGTCCGAGAAATGTCAATTGAAAAAATCAACCGTTTAGTGGTTAGACAGATAGTCGATATGCCGATACCTCAAAACAAGGTAAAATCGTCTTTCCGAAATATCAAGTCATGGCGAATATTGAGAATTTAATCCCATCACGTCGGATGAGCCCGTGCCTTAGAGATATAGGTATCCGTCAAAACGGTGAGAGGTTATTAACCCCAGTTAGGGCATCCCGACGATTGCCGCCTCGAGCCACATTTCAATATAATTTTGGCCCCGACGGAAGGAGGTGAAAGAGGAAAAGGCAAGGGTAGAAGTTAACTCAAACCTCCTACCGATAGAATAACGTCTCGGCGTCGTTTCCTTAATGATATCACAGTTTAATTACTTTAAGTTTGCCCGCTGCACGATTCCGGTCACCGCTCACAACACTTTTTGTTTCATTACCGATAATAACGTTCTCGTCAAAAGCTTCTGGAGAGGGGTGGGATGTCTCCAGATTTTCTTCACTGAAAAACAAAAAGAAAAACCAAACCCCTCCACTTATATCTCGAGATTTCGGGTTGTCGGGGAATTTTAGTATAAACAATTAGGAATTATTTTTTATGAATTCAGAGTTGGCGGAAAATTCATGAAATATCCCGATAAATTCATTTGATTTTTGATGGTTGTGCCGATTTTTATGAATTATCCAATGACGTTGAATTTTCATGAGCTTGAAAATTCCGATTTTCATTGAAAAAGCAATGATTGTTTAAGCGATAAATTCAGTGAAGGATTTCTGTTGATAATTGAATTCTTAAATAATTGGCGATTCAGCTGGCATTGGAGGGAATTTTGAGAAATTTCCGCCAATGGATAGTGTTCCGTGGAGAACAAAAAAATCGGTGCTTGAATTTAGAGTAGGGAGGAGATAAACCGGTTGGAGATAATTTCCATTTGCATTACCGGGTTCTTATTTATTTATTTATTTTTATTCGGACGAAGGGATGTTCTTGCTGGGATTTTCGGTGGAGTGAGCACGGGGAAACACCTGCACCGATTTGCGACTTCCACGTCCACGCGCCCCAGGTTATCGTATCCGTGTTTTGCACAGCGTTCAAGCGGATAAGATAAGACGTACACCATGGGAGTTTTCGTGGTGCGATCAAGCAAGAGAGGCACCAGGCGCCAAGACTTACAATCTAGTGTTTTTTTTTTGCCCCCTCGGATGGTCCGTCGGCCACTTTTACCTCGAAAACTCGATGAGACCGTGCGGAACGTGGAAAAAGAGGAAAACCGGTTGAGGGGAAAAAAAGGATCCGGGAAATGAGAATTTGCGTCACTAGGGACGGGCTGTTACCGCGAGTTGTATAATAGTTGATGCCAGCAAGAAAGAGTGGATCTGGAGCACATCTAATGTATAAAGTAATCAGAGAAAAAATTTAATGCGGGTATTGACGGACGGAGAAATTTTTCGGGGGACGTGTCTGTCGGCGGGTGACCGGGTGATTTTTATTTTTTTTTTTTAATCTTCGATGAGGGTATGAAGGCATTCCTGAATTTAGCAGAATAATGGAGTTCATTATTTCGTTCGTACAATTTCATGAAAAATTTATCAGCATTGGGAATAAAGCGAATTGTTGACACAACTCTTTTGTGTCCGTATATACTCGTCTTTCCAATTTCATTCCACGATAATTCATAGAAAAGTTGTCCCATCCTGTTCATAAACTCTTTATTCTGTTGACAAGAGGCGGGAGAAGACGGATGGGGTCAATGTTCCGGAGTACAAGATAATTTGTCTTTGAGGGGAAACTTTCGTGCGCCTTTGGCAGCCCCCGGGGGTGGATATTTTTTTTATTTCAACTCCAGCTGATGGTCAAAGAAAACCGGAAGTGGTTAATAAATTGGCACTGATCAAACGACGATAATCCTCTCATATTTTCGCGCATGTCAGTCCGCGGGTGTGAATTATTGGTAGGGGTAGAAAAAAAAAAATTCCGCTGGATAAAATAAAAATATGAAAAATAGATAACGAAAAAAAAGAGAAAAAAGTGTATTTTGATCAACAGTGAGAGCCCGGGCGTGCGTCACTCTCGTTTGTACACACGATCGCTTTGACACGCGTACCCCAGGTACACGTGTAAGAGGTAAAATTTATGGTAGCTTTTATTCCCCCCCACACGTTCTGGAGGTAAAAAGTTGTTCGCGTCGACGTAATCGCATCCACTGGGTTACACGATTACGATCGCACATCTCCATCAATATTCTCGATGAAATAACGACGGGGGGTTGGAAAAAAAAAAATGAAAAATCCACATGACAATGGGGCTGATGGGAAAATATGACACGCTGGGAATGTCGCATAGACGGAAGATGCTTTTGTCAAAAAATGCACGAATCAGGGAACCCTTTCACTTGCTTTGTGGAGTGCCTGTTTATATATATCAGTGGAGAGTGCTATCAACGGGGGAAGAGAATTCCAGGGATGTTTCCTGAATACCGGCACTCTTATATCTCGGGATCTAAATATTTATCGGCCTTTTCAACAGAGGCTTTTCACCCTCCTCACAACTCCAATGCCAGTATAGTGTGCAATAACAGGATTATGGGGATCATAAAGAGGGTGGACATTGTTTTCAGAGGTTTCAGGATTTTCCGGAATGTCGGGGTTTATTAAGTGAATAGATCATTCGAAATTTTTCAAATATTATTTATTTTCGTTTTATTTTAATTGTGAGGAGAAATAGAGTTTTATTTAGTTTCAATAATTTTTTTTTTTTCGCTCGAAAATTCAGTAATTAAAACGAGTTTCTGCATCTGTTGACAATGAAAAGCCCTCAGTGGGTCGAAATGAAGAGATTTTACCTCTGATTATCAGCGGTAAAAAAAAAAATTCTGGGCAAAACATGAAAAGCGTAAAAATTAAATGAGCGTGTTGATGGGTTGGTGATGATAAAAGTTTTAATTGCGCGCTAGAAATTTCATTCCCTTCCCGTTAAAAATTTAAGTATCATTACAATTATTACTCCGTCATATCGGAACTCGTCCAATTCTCGTCATGCAATGCGTTCATTAAAAATTCGTTCGTCAATTTATTTGTAGTCAGAGGGGAGAAGGAAAATTGAAAAAAAGAAAAACGAGTGTCGGGACATTGTTATCCGCGTTAAATTGATCCAATCGATTCTCTATTCAGGGGAAGATTGAAATCTATGTTGATTTGGTTGGATTCTTTGGTAGCCTTTCAACTTCCATCCTATCTGGCATGACCCATCTGCGGCAGATCGTTGAGTTTTCGTCTGTAAGGATTTGCATACGCACTCGATAGCCGCAGATCGATCATCTCCTTTGATTCTTCGCTGGGGTATGGGAATGGCTTTGAAATCCTC